TCTTCTGACAGCAGTGATACATGGAGAGGAGATCTTCTTCTGACAGCAGTGATACATGGAGAGGAGATCTTCTTCTGACAGCAGTGATACATGGAGACGAGATCTTCTTCTGACAGCAGTGTTACATGGAGAGGAGATCTTCTGACAGCAGTGATCCATGGAGAGGAGATCTTCCTCTGATGTGTGTTCTTGTGTCTGCAGGAGGAACCGTTCACATGGTCTGTAGAAACAAGAGCCGAGCAGAAGCCGCCAAAGCAGAAATCGTGGAACGGAGTAAAAACCAGGTGAGAAGTCTGCTGCTCGTCTGAAAGTCAACCGCTCCATTAGAGGCTGCGTCTTTGTGCCTCCTTGATTCCTCGCTCCTCAATCGATCCCTTGCATCTTGAGTGTACTTTATTTATGCATCATAGAGTACAGTATCATTTTGTCTCATTTGTTAAAAGCCTGTTTCCTCTCCTCCCGTCTCTTCCTCTCCTCCTCGTGTCTCTTCTTCGCCTCCTCGTGTCTCTTCCTCTCCTCCTCCCGTCTCTTCCTCGCCTCCTCCTGTCTCTTCCTCGCCTCCTCCCGTCTCCTCCTCACCTCCTCGTGTCTCTTCCTCGCCTCCTCCCGTCTCTTCCTCTCCTCCTCGTGTCTCTTCCTCGCCTCCTCGTGTCTCTTCCTCGCCTCCTCGTGTCTCTTCCTCGCCTCCTCCCGTCTCTTCCTCGCCTCCTCCCGTCTCTTCCTCTCCTCCTCCCGTCTCTTCCTCGCCTCCTCCCGTCTCTTCCTCGCCTCCTCGTGTCTCTTCCTCTCCTCCTCCCGTCTCTTCCACGCCTCCTCCCGTCTCTTCCTCTCCTCCCGTCTCTTCCTCGTCTTCTTCAACAGAACATTAATTTCTTTGGTTTTCATGTTTTTCCTGTTTCTTCCCAGAACGTCCACGTCCACATCGTTGACATGTCCAACGCCAGACAAGTGTGGGAGTTCACCCAGAGCTTCTCTGAGAGCAGCAGCGTTCACGTGCTGGTAGGTCTGTAGACCTCAGAGGTTTTATAAGAAGAGGACGTCCTCATGGGGACGTCTCGCGTTGGTTTGTGGACGTTTTGAAGCCTTGAGTTCAAAGATTTTGCCATCGCTATCTCGGTTTTCTTTTGGCAACCAGTGAACAGGAAGTGACCATATCTGGACTGAGGAGGAGTGATGTAGAGACGCCGTATACGTCTCTGGCAGAGACCTGTCAATCAGCGTGTAGCCCCGCCCTAAAGCATCCCCT